ATCCCGGTGAAGTGTGGCACACCTTCCTTGTCGACCACAATCTCATAGTCGGACCAGAACTGCTTACCGGCAACGGAAGCATCAGCCATGGAGCACCAGCTCCGCTACCAGTGCGAATGCGCAACTGGTAACGGACTGGGCCTGTTTCTCGCTCGCGGATCGATGAACGAAGTAAAAAGGTAAAGTGAAACATGAATTCATGAAAGGATTCCCTGGATCTGCGTCTGTCGAAAGCTCTCTGGATTTGTGCGTGTCATCCTTAGTGCGTGTCATCCTTAGTGCAGGGGCCGCGCAGGCCTGAACAAATGTGGCCTCACAGGCTCTGATGTTCGGACCGGCCTCAAATAAAAATGGCAGCTGAATACAAACAAAGTCAATCTGCTCTGAAAGCCTGCAACTCTCACAATATACAATATGTGATACATATTGTCTGGACTTTGCCGAGAATCTTGTCCAACCTTTTTTGAAACAAGGTCATCTTCCGACTTGTACAGCAAATGCAACATAACAACCCCCATCTATTTGCAAGTGCTTCCCCCTGCTGGGGGCAAAAGCCATGTGCCATAAGCTCTCAAAACTGTAAAACACATGTGCAAGACTGGGGTCCTTGATATCAAGAATGATCTTGGTAAAGCTGGACTCTGCATCCAGGGCCACCACTTTGCCATCAACAACTCCCAGGAACTTGCCAGCTGCCTCTAAGGACACCTTGGTGGGTGAGAGCTCCTACAAGTTCATCACACTTGTGTGCCCCATATGCATTTACAATCATTTATACACATGATCTACGTTGATAATGCCTAGGGTGTGGAGTGAATGAAAAGCTTGCTAAAGGCGACCAAAGTAAAAATCACGTATCATTTTCGCTGGCCGGAGGTCGGAGGCATCATAGAAAGTCAACATCCACGGTGAACTGTGAGACTAAGAAAACATGAGAAGAGGTGATGTATGGTGAGATGTGACGGCTGATGTGGGTGAGGGGAGAGATGAACAAGAAGTTAAACGAGGCAACACGGGGGGGAAGCATGTGGCAAGCCAGGTGAGCTGAGGAAAACTGAAATGAGGTGAGATGATAAAGCGAGATGCGAAATATGCAGGGATCAAACACCTAAACAATTGGTTGTGCACTTTACACTTGGAAGCATCTGTGCACTATCTACAGCGCCTCGTCCCCAGAATAAGCAGCTCCAGCCCCATTGGCACGGCGCAATGTCCAACAGGGCTGCTGGGGATCCCCAGTAGCTTCAACTTGCAAGCCCGTCATACCGTCTGGCCTCAGTGCATTAAACATATATTAGAAACATCACGAGACACCATCAGGCACAGGACTCCTGAGCAAGTGCCAATAAAACGACATATTAGCTATTAGGGGCTCCTGGCATCGCTACTAGGAGCAAGGACGCTTCTAGGGGCAGGTAGCTACTAGTAACAAGAAGCTAGTGATGTTTGTTCGCATATCTTGGTGGCAGGCAAGCCGACTGCACTTTGAGGGGTTGGCACCACCCCGTGCAACAACAGCTCTGCCTCCGTTTTGGCGGTGACAGCCTGGCAATCTTGAACTGGCTCAGTCACCCTTCCAGACTTGACTGTTTGCACACGACACTTGAGGCCGAGGGTAGGTGACGAAAGCTAGCAGGGGTGCATCCGGACTGGTGGGACATCAAGCGGAGTGAGGCAAATGCTCATGAGGTAAAACGTTGTGAACATGTAAGACACACAAACAGCAATGACACAGCCAACCTTAGAATTTAAGTCCCCGATAATTAAGGAAGCGTGGCTGGACTTTGCCACACTGTTCGATGCATCCGATGTGTTCACGAACCTGTGAGCTTGTTGAATCTGTTGCACCGTATCCATCCGTATCCCAAACCCTCCACGGAGGAGTTGAACCAGTGTGGATGCCATAAGAGGTGCCCAAGAGGTGTCCCAGAGGCAAAACAAAGCTGCTTGCATGATTTGTTTGGTTTCTTCTATCGATGTCGATGTCATGAACATGTGAGCTTGTTGAATCTGCTGTTGGATCGTCATGTATATGTAATGAGGGACTGAAGAAAAGCAACGCAGCATCATGAGCATCACGGGAAGTCACAAACCAGGCGTATCAGATACACCTGGCTTATGTATGTTTGTTTGAGCATCTTTGTCGAGTGAAGTGTCAGCCATATGCACTGAGATGCCGAAGGAAGCTCAAAGGCATGTGTATCTGATACGCCTGGTTTCTGACTTCCCGTGATGCTCATCATTGAAGCCTTGAACCCTCGCGTAAATTTCATGTTTCATGCCCCCCCTTCCAAACTCAAACAGTGGCCTACTTCACCTGCCACCTAAACATAGCACTATAGCACGTACCAGAAGCGTCCCAGGGGGGAGTTGAACCCGCGGGGGGGGGGGGGCCCCCCTACACGTGAAGTTTTCACGTGATTCATGATTCTCGAGGCTGCGAGCCCTTGACTTGCTAAAGCAAGAGCAACTCCAGCTAGCTGATGCTAGCTTTCGTGATTATTCTCTCCTCCTCAGCATCATACCCCTCTCTGACATTCTCTTCATAGCTGATGACGGCTCCGCAAACCGACCGCCTGAAGAGCAATTTTGTCACCGTGCTCCAACTGCTTGCCAGGCTCCTTTGCCTCAAAGCTTGCTGCGCTAGCCCTACTATTTCAGCGATACGTCCCGACAGTACCCGATGAGACAGTACGTGCCGCTGTGTTGCAGCATTGATTGTCAGTGACTGCCACTCCCCCATGTCGCGCCAGCGTGCTTGAACTGCTTTCCCCTCCACATCCAAGTGCCGATCATTGGAGCATCTGAGATATCCTGGGATACCAAGACTCAGGGGTGCCCAACAAAGTGTCTGTATGTGGGTCTCTTAATGTCCCGGGGTGGCGTGGTAGGGCGTGAGGTGAGCTTCAGGTAGCTAGTAGTCTCTGGTAGCGGCGGCGGCGGCAGTAGGAGTAGGAGTAGGAGTAGGAGTAGGAGCAGGAGTAGTAGTAGTAGTAGTAGTAGTGGTCGTGGTAGTGGTAGTGGTAGGGGTAGGGGTAGGGGTAGGGGTAGTGGTAGTAGCAGTAGTTGTAGTAGTAGTAGTAGCAGCAGTAGGTAGTAGCGACACAGGAAGCCCCCGCACCACTATATAATTGTTTCCTATGTGTTTCTAGATTCTAGATGTTTTATGATGTTTTGAAACATTCAGGTTTCATTCATGGCTCCTATACCTCCGACCAGTGCTGGCCGCGGCCCTTGGTCAGCAAAAGGGCGCCACTGAGCAGCCACTCTGACTCCAACTGAGGAAATCGAGTAGGTCACGGCAAGCTTTGCACCTCCTGGAGGATCATTGATGATCCATGTTTGTTATGCAGCAATGCCAAACTTCTTGAAATTGAGCATTATTGCGAGTGTGACGTAGTGACATGGTGATACAGTGTGCAAGCTACTTGTGCAATGTAGGGACTCTCCAACACACAACTTGCATGTCCAATCTCTTCCCTGACATCTCGTTCATGAAGCAGCAGGCTCCTCCTCCAACAGCAAGCACTCCACTGATGTCAACAAATGCTGGCTGTGGCACGGTCTGCAAATCTTCCAACCTGGGCTGCTTGACTGGGCACAGTCTTGTCCAAAGTTCCTTTGCGCTCCTCGAATTATATATTTATGTTATATTATATATATTGATTTATAAATTTGCACTTCCCTCCACACTACATGTGTGTAGAAGTTGGCTAGGCAGCAGAACCGCCTTTTGTCCGGCAAATCGCCAGCAAGCACAATCTTTATGAAGATTTGCTCCTCTGCAGTTGAGAGAGATAGGGAGGGAGAGAGAGGGGGGGAGAGAGAGAGGGAGACGGGAGTAGTAGGACATGCAAAGGGTCTGCAGCTTGGTTTGAGCAAAACAGCAACTGCAACACCCGTCCATAGTCGTTGTCAGTAGGTGGACGCCAAAAGTTTGGCTGCAATGGCGCTGCCAGCAGTTCCAATCCTCGAAATGCCAACCCAGTGAGGCAGCCAGCTCCTTCACTGGATCGGCGGCCAAGGCCTAAGCAGAGTGCAAATTCCAAAATGCTTTACAACATGCTCAATCCCTCTCAATCTCAGTGCAATTTATGTTCAGCCAAACCCTGTAAAAGCTCAGGTGCAGTCAAAGCACGTGCTACAAGTTCACCGGCAACCACGGTGAGGCCGGTTGCTTCGGTCTGAATTTTGGGCTCCAAGCCACTGATACTAGCAATTGGAACCTGAACAAGTGCATCCTTGAAATCAACTTTTCAGCATCCAAGAATGCTGAAGGACAGTGTTGAAACCCAAAGCTGTCTCATTGACACTTTTGCTGAAAGCACTCCTAAAAGCGGGCAGTCAGAATAAGAAACGTCAACAAGTCTCTGCAATGTGACAACATATTAGACAACTAGACTAACTAGACAACTACAATTGCAATTATATATACACGTCTTGCAACCACTTGACGTCACTTGATATCTTTGTATTGCTGCCAAGAGTTCACAATAGAATGCACGGCAGAGCTCAACCATTGACACACTGTACATATATATATATATATATCCGGTGACTTGAGCAGAAATCAATGATTTAACGTGAGCGTGCGTTATATAGGTCATATGTTCAACCATGCGCGCTGTGATGAAACAACAATGACATCTTTCTTTAAGGGATGAGGCACGGGCGCGTTGGTGAGAAGATGCCACTGCTCCCAGGCCACCTCCAAGCCCTTTGGCAAGCAGCTCTTTGTTTCCCCTTAGTACCAAATGGTGAAATTGCAAAACACGGCAAAACGTAATATTTTGATAGTGCTTGAACCATCTTGAACCTGTGGCAAGCTGCGGTTGTCTTTTTCACATCTTTCCATACATTAGAGAATGTCTACATGAGTCACAAGCTGTGAAGTTATGACAGCAACATCTGTAAAACATTTTGCAGCTTAAACAGCAGCTATTGCGAGGGTGGGCGCTCATATAGGCTGAAACCAGCAAATGGTACTCTCCAAAGGCTTCCTAAGTGGTACGCACTGCCCACAAACTGACAAGCTCCTGCATGTCAAAAGCGCTTGCAAGAAGCTTGAATGATGGTAGGCTTTGGCATGTTGATCGTGTGTGATCCATGAGCTTCAGCCTGTATACCTGCGATGAACAAAACTCCGCTCTGCAAATGGACTTTAGTTCCCAAAGAGAAGCATCAACCCATGTGCTGATGTTCCTCTTCGAGACTATCCTCCCACTTGACCAGCTGCCTTGCAGTTGTCCACTCTCCACAACCGAGCCGTTCAAAGTAATTTGCCAAAAGAAATCCAAGTGGTCCAGGGAAAGGAAGTCGTAGCCTGCGCAGGTAGATGTCACAGTGAGTGCTCTAATCCAGCTGGGTGATGACGAGGATTATATGATGCACCAATTGCTGGAAAGTCACGGTTTTGGATTTCAATCGTCCCGGCTTCAATGTCCTCTCGAAAAGTCACGGGCTGCATTACCTTCTTCGCCTCGAACAAATGTGGGCTGGGCGTCCGGTCAGGCTGCACAAGGCCATTGATGCAGAAATTCAGGTCCGAAGGGGTGCCCTTCGCACCAAAGTCACCGCCAAATGCCCAAATCGTCTTCCCATTCTTCTGCGTTTCCAAGCCCTGGTCGACCCAGTCCCAAATAAAACCACCCTGCAGCACCTTGGACGCAAAAACGAATGGGCATACAAACAACTTTGTCAAACACGTTCAGCAGCCGCGAAAATAACACAATGCAAATGAATGGCGCACGGGCACACCGTATCTGTAGATCATATCCCAGTACTCCCTGAATGCTCCCAAGGTGTTGCCCATTGCGTGCGCGTACTCCACCATGATCAATGGAAGCGCATTTACATCGCTGTCGTACAGTTCTCCATATTTTTCCAACTTCAAGTGGCTTGGGTACATCGGACAATAGATGTCAGTATTCTTGTCCTCAGCTCAAGCAAGTCCAGTGGCAAAACCATGTTTGCCACCACGAAAAGCACTCCGCCCACCCCGGAGCGGGGCCGGTGTGTTCCTGTTGAAGGACTCCGGTGGGCGGTGGGCGATGTTGCTCAGCCGTCGTTGACAAACACTTGCCCAAAAAATGCCGCGTCAGTGGCATTTATCTAAATTCTTCTCTAGTCAAGACTTTTTTCTCAGGAAAAGCGTTGCGCCAGGCTTTGGGCGCGGGTTCGGCTCCCGCCCTTTGGATTGAGGCGGCACGGGATTAAAGCCAAGCACATCGCGGTGTGCCGCCACACGCGCGCGCGCCGCCGCCAGGCGACGATAAGGACCCCGCCGCCCTCCATGCGGTGTGCCTGGCTTCAACTGCGGGGCGCCCTGCCCGCAGCTACCCGACCCCTCTCGGCGTTCCTCAAATCGGGCCGGGCAGGCCCTGGCACCTGGGAGAGCGTCGACAGATGAATTTTTTGGTCGACTTTTCTCAAGAGACTGGAAGATGGACCAACATATAGTTTCAAGATTGATATGGTGATTGATGTGAGGTCGTTTTCAAGGGCCCGTGATGCATGAGATGCTGCCCGAGTGACCTTGCATGATTAGCATTTTGTGCTTATGCTTGCTCTTCTTCTCTAGAGAAAGAGACAGAGATAGAACATGGAAGAGAAAGATAGTTCTTAGCATTTTATTTCTCTTCCGAGAAATAAGCGACAGGGAAAAACGACAAGAAAGAGGACGAGACAGAAAAAGAGCAAGAGGAAGAGAAAGAAGACGAGACAGAGTAAGAGGAAGAGCCAAAGAAAGAGAGAGAGAGAGAGAGAGAGAGAGAAACAAATTGAAGAGCCAGAGAAAGAGACAAGGAAAGAGGAAGAGACAGAGAAAGGGGAAGGAATGAGAAGGAGAAACAGGAAGAGTCAGAGAAAGATAAAGATAAAGTGGACTTCGCGATGACTCCACCGAACGCGAAAGAGAAAAGAAATCCACAGCGGGCCTGCACATGCCCTGCTTGCCTGCCCGGCCCGCTGTTAGGCGTAAGCCTTGAAATAGGGCGGTTTGCATCCTTGCGCATTGATACATGCACATAATTATGCCGGCTCTCTCTCTCTCTCTCGCTTGTCCACTTTCCCGCTTTGCAACCCACTTTGGGCCAAAGGCGTTTTGCCCATTAGATCGACAAATCATGACACATGTCTTTTCCACTAACAAAAGTGGGCAGAACCGTGCCTAATTGCACTCAGCCAAACACAATGATCTAGGACAAAGTTTGCTGGCTCTCGCGCTGCAATAAGTTGGGCAAAACGCTGTTGGGTGCATCGGCTAGTTTAGCCACTGTAGCATCAGCAGGTGTGTCGTCACACGTTGGCTCTCTTGGCATATTTTTAAATACAAATGCAAACATATAAATATCTAGTATATAATGCCGTACATACCTCTGCAAGAACTGTCTGCACACATCCTAGTTGAGACGGCAATCCCTATTGTATGCCGTTCTTGTGTGGAACAAGCCTTTCAACCTAGACAAGCCGAGCCATTCTACCTGTGCTGGCCCATGCAACACAAACCTCACAAACATCTGCAAGAACTCCGGTTCTAACGAGCGTGTTGCAAACCTGACACTGCCTAACTAAGCTAATCAATGTTGCCTCAGATTCGGCATTAATTTATATATATATAATATATATATATATTATATAGATTGATTTACTGTACCAACGAACCCGCGAAGGATGCCAGCTCACCCTGGCTGCTTTCTCAACAGCTGAGCTGTTGCCTTGCTTGGTCTTGGAACAGCTCATGATCTATGTTCTGGATGAACTGCAACAATTTGACCAAAAACATCCAAATACACATCCAAGACGTGAACATCACTGTGAAAAAACTGCGACAAAGAAACGTGCATTTCAATGACAACATCCTCCTTTGGTCATGATGCCAGGTGGTGACGGGACGACTGAGGCCACGTCAATCGTCTCCAAATTGTGTGTGGTCCATGTTGGTTCTTTTCGAGCATGTTCGTATTGAACTGGTCGTGTAGGATCCCTTCCTTTCAGCCACCTCGGGGCGACAATATCTCAGGAGATGGCTTGGCTTTCCACAGCCAATCGGTGGGAGTCCAGCTCAGCCAGGTGGCGCATACGTGCTGTAGTGATTGATTCCTCGGCTCTCTATGATTCAGAAGTAGAAGTGTCCCGTCCAAACTGTGCTTGTGCTCCTGTGCTTCCGAGATTCCGTTGCCTGCTTCATTTCCCAAAGACCAGAAAATGATGCTGGGGAAATTCTTGTCCCGCTCCTCAACCAATGACTTGCCTAGTTCCCCGAAGACAGCCCCCATGCATTTTGTCTAACTTTTGAATCCCGCCCATTCCGGCAGTATTATGTACGATAGCTTGAGGCCAGGGCAACATAGCGCTGCACTCGGGCGAGGTGCGCCTCTCCCCACTCCTCCTGCGGCAATTTTGCTCACCAAAAAGGTTGCAAGTTGCACGGTTACACATGTCTATGTTCCATAATGTTCCATATGTTTATCAACTTATATATAATGTCAAACTGACCAGCTGCACGTTCCAACTGCCATAGCAAGTCAAAAGTCCTTGTTTCCCAAGGTCTTCGACCAGTCAAAATCTACTCCATGGCTCTCAATATTTGCTTCGTCCACCACATAAAGCCCCATTTCATCGCACAATTCATAAAACATGATGTCGTTCCTTGGCAAGGTGCAACATATTTGATCCCTATCGGCCCTATCTGAGTGGCGAGCCGCACGTTTGGCAAAATTCATTGTATCTCCAACTCCAACTTCCACATGAACTGTCGTAAGGTGAAAAGTCTTTGTTGATTTCGGGTTTTGAAGGTCAAAACATGCCCATGACCGCACACATGTTAAGCCATATTGAACGCAGGGGCACTTACTGCAAAGAGAGCCGCGGATAGTGAGCGCATCGCACGGCATTAAAATTGTTTTCTTTCATCATCTGGATGTCCTGAAATCATTGTGGTAGATTGTGCTAGAACACCAAACACCCGTCAACACTCCCGCCAACAAACACCTGATCATTGAACATCTACAATTGAATATACATCGGTAGCTCACATGTCCTAACCACCAAAACTTTCAATGCAACACCCTGTGCGACACAAAAACAAATTGGTTGATCCAGCACTTGACCCAGGGGGTGCCGTCTTTTTAGAGGTACACACGACACGAGCGATTGAATTCTCATGTCGAGGCGCCTGTATCATAGACTCTCTGTCAACCACATGTCCTTTCGTCGGGTGGTGCTCGTGTCTGTTCACTCCACGAATGGTCAACTCACCTGAGTACAACAAAAGCCTGAAAGCCTTTTGGCCGGTGACCGGGGCCTGTCGCAGGATTGCCGTGAGTGGCAAACAACCCACACAAGAAGCTCGACTTCTGCCAAGTTTCTGCCATTCAGCAGCAGTCTACCTTCAAGAATTTCAACTGTCCTGAAGCCCACATTGAGGCACACCTCAGCGCCACACAGGCCACAAGCTGCTTCGACTATTGACTATTGTAATTACCGGCTGGCGAAGATCCAACCAAAGCATTCACATCAAACGTGTGACACCAAGCCAACGCAAACTTATGGATATGATTTGATGATTTGATACATCTCATGAATATATGCGGATGGATGCAACTGGGCGACAGCCTCTGTTTCCGCTGGGCTGCCATTCTTCTTCACCACCTCCACATCATGATGCTTGCACACATTTGCAAAACACTTCTCAAGCTCCTGTTTCTGCATGACTGCACTGGAACACATCGCTACTTATCAACCTGCTTGTGCAGAAAAAGCTCTAGCGCCGAGCAACCAACTTGTAGAGGTAGGGTGCCTGCAGCAATCGATTGAGCCGTGTGCCTGACTATCCTAGCTAATTCGTAAGAACACCTGCATGATCACATATTTATATAATCCTCCATGGTCTCGAGATACTCCTCTAGATGTTCTTTCCCGATGTTTGTCACGGATCTACAGCCTTTTAGAATATCTCCGGGCAACTTTGCAGTAACCAAAAAAACGGCAAAAAAATGGAGTTTGCGTCGGGGTGGGCAGTTTCGTCTTCGCCTCAGGCGCTGGGTGTTTGTCTATTCTAAGACTGCATGCCTATTCAAGCGCAGCAAATTATGGCACATGCACTAATAAACATAATTAAACTGCTTCTCTGAAC